CAACTTTAGTCCAAAAAATGTAGACAGAAATTAAAGAAGAGGAAAAACTCTATAAAAAACGTTCTTTGTACTTTTTCCGTGCGACGACCCGTTTCCAAGTTATCTCCTTTTAAACACGCTAAATATATTATAAGCAGTTATTATTTCCTCTATTCTAGGCAGTTTTTGTCTTTCCGAGAACCTTACTCTTTTTATTTCTCCACGCATTTAGTGGCTGCGGCACCACATCCGCATTATACAGACAAGGAAAAATGTAATTCGTTAAAGTTTTACAGCAAGAAAAATAATTATTACAGACAGCTGCACAAACTTTCAAAGACCCAAACGCCCAGAAGATACAGAAAAAGCTGGAGGAACGATTGCTTCTTCATCTATATGGGTCCAAAAAATGAGACTCATTAGATAAGTACAGATACCAGTGTTTCGTAAAAGCTATTACCAAAAGCTTACCAATCCTAGCACCATCCTAGCACTTACCAATCCTAGCACCTACCAAAGACGCAGCTCGCTTGCACTCCTTCCGTAGGTACAGTCAGATACAGCTATGGTATGGGAATGAAAAATCACCTCTATATTGGGGATGGGAAAATTCAAAGAATGTGTTGATGCCCATTGCTGCTTCCCAAGATGCAGCTCCCCAAGAATTATTAAATATGATTTCATGTAAATGTGCCAAAGGTTGTAATACATCTTGTAGTTGCCGCAAAGCAGGTTTGCGTTGCTCGGTGATGTGTGCACTTTGTCAGGGCAAATCATGTTCGAATACTTTGGGAGTGGCAAAATTAGGCAAAGATGAGTACGTGAACAATTTTCCTCTCGACAAAGATCAACGAAAAGAATATTCTGCACCTTATGAACCAGATCCGGAATATGATACAGATGTGGAAGATATTCAGGAAGATTATATTGAACAGCCAGTAACATCAAAAAAACGAAGGAACTCTGATGAACCTTCCACCTCAAAAGAAACCTAAGTTGACGACATGTGGATTAGGCCTATTGGAAATGGGAAGCCCTAAAAAAAAACGCGCCGGGTACTTTACCTCAAGGCAGCTCCCTGAGAGATAAGGCGGTTAAATTTGATTTTCCACCAGTCGCGCAACAATAAAAATGTAGTCCGTTATTGCGGTCATAATGCAAATTACGTTCTTCCATTATGACCGCGACAGCAGGCTACTGCCAACCAGTAGCAAACAAGTTTTTAGGCTTTATGTCTCGGGGGTGCGGCTCAAGGTGGTGTGGAAACAAGTACAGTTAACCCCGGATATATTAAACACGTACATTATATCAAACTTAAATTTTGTTTTCGCAAAATTCGATACTTTAGGTAGTCGCATGAAAAAAACCCATACGTTTTTTATAGAGTTTTTTCTCTTCTTTAATTTTGGTCTCTACATATTTTGCACTAAAGTTGATAGAAATCGAGTTATTGACAAATAATGAAAAATAAACCGAATTTTAGCCAATTTTTCCAAGATGGCGGCCAAATCCGGGCTTTACGGGGAGTGCAAATTTAATACGTGCTTCTCAACACCAAACTAAACAAAATAAAACTTATTCCAGCTTGTCCGGATTTGCTCCCGCCATCGATGCACTTGCCGACTGGCCTATTATTCTCATAGAAATTTCCAGTTGGAGGTAAAATATTTTGATTAATAGCATTGGTAATTATTCCTTTAATAACCATTGTTCTATTATCAATAACTAAAAATCGTCATCAGATTATAATGAAAGACATTGTTCATTTGTATTATTATTATGGAGACAAGTCATAAACATGTTAACAAAACGTGAACTTATGATAATCAATTTTACTGTAGTGGCGAAATACTGTTTATTCTCTATTGGATTGGCATGGGTATCTACGGCTATGGCTATGGGTATATTAGGTGATTCAAAAGTTGATGGAAGGTGATTAAAGTAAATTTATTTTTTGTCATACGCTCCCAAAAACAGCTATTTTACGGACTCATTTCAGTCCGTAAAATGTTTCTTTTTCGGCCTAGGCCGTAAAGGTCGTCATGGCAACCTTTATGGACTAAAATGTCTAAATTCGTTATTTGGTTGTTTTATTTTGTCATTCGAAATTTGTCACAAAATCACATAAAATTATACATATATTTATAATTAAATTATTAAATACTAACAATATCAAAAGCTAAGTTATTTGTTTAAAGTAAGTACCTAGGTACCTATTTAAAAGAGGCTTTTAAATTAAAATATTCTTAAATTACAGTCACAAACAAGACATAATCATGTGGTACATTTTTTGGCCTAAGACAAGCATATTTTCTATACAACTCAACTGGATTGACAACGTTCCCTTCGTTCACCACCGGAAACACTCTTTTGATATTAGTTTTGTATCCGCAAGGGTAACTAAAAGGCAGCTGTTGTCTTTTTCTATGATGTCTTGCACTCGTAGAGAGTACAATTCTTCTCTTCTACATGCTCCACAAAGGCCAATGACAAGAGCTACCTAAAAATCAAATACAATGGAATAAGAAACCATCTATATATTTTAAAATCATTATCGCAAACTTACCTTAGTAAGTAAATAAGTTTCATCACTAGCCGTGGCCAAAAAATCACCGATCTCTTTTATGGACAAAACCTTAGACTTTTTAGGCTCGTAACCAACCGAATTCCTCTTCAAAAAAGCAATAAGTTTTGGAAATTTGTCAATATAAATATCTTCTTTAACACTTAACACTGCTCTCAGCATGGAATATTTCGACCAAATTGACGATGGTTTGAATGTTTGTGACTGTAATTTAAGAATATTTTAATTTAAAAGCCTCTTTTAAATAGGTACCTAGGTACTTACTTTTTCGTGGAAATAATTTAGCAATACATCTTCATTTACAACGAATACGCCATTTTTGTCTTTCCATTCATTAAAAACATCATATTCTTTCTGGTAAATGGCACGAGACTTCACAGGAAGTAAATCCAACACGATTTCTTTGGCCTTATTAGCAATATGTTCGGGATTTTGGAACATTTTAAAATTGTTGATGAATTTGTGTGATTTTGTGACAAATTTCGAATGACATGTCAAAATGCGATGAAATAAACAAACTCGTTACTAAGATATGAATTTATAAGCCAACTTTTTCAAACATTATAATTTCAAATATGGAAAATTTGCAAATATGCGTTCTAAAAAACTGTAAAAAGCGTATGACAAAAAATAGTGTATGTAACACGTACCTAAATTATGTTTTTTAGGACTCATCTACTATTTCGGACTCGGCTAACGCCTCGTCCGCAAACAGTAATGATTCGTCCTAAAAAACATCATTTTAGGTACTAGTTACATAAATAGCTATTACAATATGTTATAATACTCAATGTAACTTCAAAAAATGTTTTCCATAATTTATGTGCGGCATATTGGTAACAAATTTAATAAGGGTAAGTTATCTTAATTCCAATAGATCGTCTATAAAGTATAATTTATTTTTTGTAAATATTTGGTCTAATAACATAGAGAACTCTAGACGCATTGTAAAATAAATTTAGTACTAGCTTTGTCACCTGAAGAAGCTGATAACACCAATTTAAGTTTTTCATAAATCTATGTTTATATCCTAATTTTCTACTTTTTTGATGATTATTTTTAGCTACACCAACATCATAAAGCTATAAATTATATTAATCCGTCAAGTGAAAACATTGTGAAATTAATTAAAACGTTATCACTAATTCTCTAATTTTTATTGCTAATAGATTATATATAGCTTCATGATGCCAAATGACATTCCCGCTTCCTGCAAGTGGTTGTTAATGGCCACTATCTGCTTCAATGGCGCAGGTTCAGCACGTGTTAAGACCTGCCACGAAATAAGACGCCCCACGGGAAGCGGGAAGCCGGTGCATTATGGACGTACCTTTACGTAAAAAGTCCTAGCTTTTTATGCCATCTGTTAAAATTACTCTATCCATTAGGATATAGAAAATGATCAATTAGGACTACCCTCTACCCTCATGGACAGTACCCTTTCAGAACTGTTGTTTTTTTTACACTATCGCCCTTGGCTTTGCTAGTAAAATATTTGTAAGAATACCAAATTTCAAGGAAAATGATTAACCAATGTTCTTAAGAATAAACAAAATACATATTATTTATATTTACCTTTTTGAGAGCTGTACAGTACGTCTGTCCGTTCTGTAGCTACGGGGTATCCGTGAGAGGGGAAACGATATTCTCTCGATGTTTTTCGTAAAAAAATAGACGACGCGTTCCATCAATAAAAATTCAACAAATTTGCAAGTAGCCAATAAAATGAGTGGGCGGAGCGATTTGCGGTGACGCACTCGTCAAATCGACGTATAAAATATATTGCTGTTTATTTAAATATTTTTTGTCCGCATTCCTTTCATAGACACAGATCCAGCAGATGTACTGTAACTTCCCTGGAAAGCATCTTAGAGCATATGCTTGTAGTAACTTTTTGTTTTATTTTTATCTGCAGAATCACTCACTGAAGTTTATTACACTATTTTTTTGACACCCTGTATATCTATTCTAATCCCTTTTTGTGAAATTTATTCTTTTCTATTACATTTAAAAAATATTGTTTTTTTTTCTCCGAATATTATAATCCTTATTTATTTTAATATAATTAACGGATATAGAATTTTTTTCTTAATATGATTTTTTAAACTATTATTCCTTCAGTAAGTCTGAGTAAGTACTCAAAACAATGAAGTCGTTGAAATTCTCATTTCCTTAAATTTAAAATAAATAAATATAAATAAATATTTAATCACTGCATAAGCACTCTTTGCATATTCTTAAGATAACAGATGATATCAATATTATCTCTGTGACAGATCGTCGACGCGTCCACCCTGTACGTTACAAGTATTCTCACAAAACAATTTTATTATTAGCACCGACAATTTAACAACAATGTTTATAACATTACGATTCCCAGCGGTCGATTTCAGTCGTACTCAAACATTCGAAATGAGCGGTCGTTTTATCGTTGCAGGTGCCCAATCGGCCACAGCTCCTCGTAGGGGCTTCCCCAACCAGTTCAACCCTCTACTGGTGGCCATGGTAGGCCTACCGGGTAGAGGAAAATCGCTTCTTGCCAAGAGACTAACCAGATACTTGAATTATACAGGAGACACTTGTGCAGGTATGTACCTATTTAGTTTAAGGATAATTTCTAATGGGTTTTACACTTGACAACTGAATTGACAAGTTAGTTCTATTTGTTATTAATTATTTTTAATCGTTAAAGACAGGGCATATACCGTATGATCGAAAAAAACCGGCATCCAGTTGACTTGGAAATGAACATCGATGATATTCCGCAGATAATTTATATATAAAATGACAGCGATCTCCATTTCATAGTCATTGTTGACGCCGTTTTTTTTCGAGTCAATATGACTACACAATATGTGTAGTTAAAACAACTTTTTTGTCAGATTTGTTGTACTTTTGTTTTAACTTCTTTGAATTGCTGAGTTTGTTGACCTTTCAATGTGTATTTTATGTTATTTTTTTAAATTTTTTTCATTAAACCGTAGAAAGTGATTTAAAAATACCGTATGATCGAAAAAAAAGCGCCAAAGACGGCTTGCGAATGAGGCTTGTGTGACGAGGTCAATCTCTGGACGATATTTACAAAAAATTGACATAAACCTTGTTGAAAATTAACTCTAATTATAGAGAAATTAAAAAAGGATAGACCGTTCCCAGATCCATAAATGCATTCCTAAATTTTAAGCTACACCATTTAAAAACAATTTTTACTCAATAGAAAAATAAATTACAACTTTCTGAAGGCCAATCGTGAGCACTATTAAAAAATAAAGAAGCGTACGGACCAAAGTAAATGACGTCTAGGGCTTGACCTCGCCAAAATTATCCTCAATTGTAATTTCTCAGCCGTCCTTGACGCCGTTTTTTTCGATCGCATGATACGTACTTGTGCAGAATATTATAGTTTCAGAATAAAACATTAAAAAATACTATACACGTGTAGGAAACTAATCACTTAATTGTTTAGAGTTAACTAATTAAGTTTCTGATAATCTTCAATTTTCTGATTTATTACTACTTATCAAAGATAATTAAGATACAATTTTGTGAATTTTACATTAACTTATTGATTTCTATTAGAAATATATTTTTAAGCAACACTCACACAACTGCTCGGACTAATGTGAGTGAAATGACATAGGTAACCGAATGCTAGTGTTCCTAAGCCTAATACTTTCTAATACCAAATTAAATTGCGCATGCTCAAAATTACTGTTCTTAGCAATTTTCGAAATATCTAATATTCGACCTATTGAATTTGACGGTTCAAAAGTGTTTATCCTTATTTATTTTTTGGTTTCGAAATGATTAATGTTTATTCTGAAACAAGTGTGTACTAGAATGTTGGAAAATGATGAACTGCATTTCCTTTAGTGATTAAGGTTCATTTCTTAGGGTTTTAAGAATTGCGAAAATCTGCAAAATCCTTATATGACACCAAATTTCACTAGTCAGCCAAATTTTTTTTCGAAAACAATGAAGCAAAATAATAAATAACTAATTAATCCTTTGGATTAACAATCCACAAGGTTAGTTGTTAGTTTTTTTATACTCACCCCGTGTATAAATTAAAGACAGGTTAAAGAATGGTTTAGTAAACTAATATTTAACTAGTTCTATACCACTTTATACATTCGAAAATGTATCGTTGTGGTATCGTTCTATTGTTATCAAGTTATTTTTGATTAGATCGTGCTGGTTTTGTGTTACAGCAAAGGCTAAGAATTTTGAAACGAAAAAAAATGTGTTAATAATATTATTAATGAAATAACAAACTAGTTTACAATTAAGACTTAAAATAAAAATGTAATCTCTTATTCAAATAATATAAAATTAATAAATAGATTAATAAATTAATCATCTATCAAAAAGCCGAGCAAAAAGCTTTTATATAGGGTGTTTCAAAAAACATGAGCCATCTCTCGTGGAGAGATTCCTCACGTAAAAATAAGATTTATTTTTCATATCAACATAGATCTGATTCTGCTTTGTTTCCTAGCTACAGGGTGTTTAAATCTTAATATTTTTTCGATTTATTATACTTTTCTTCCAAGTACTTTTAGCGTTTCGAATGAAATTTTGATGGTATAAGTTACTATAAATGCGACATATTTTAAGGCTAAAAAAGTGTCGCCATATTCACCAGGGACGTGCATATGGGTTATCACTGGAATATTTTTTTAAAAAATGCATGTACGCCACTGACTTTTTTCTTTTGTTTTTTTTTTGCGAAATAGTGTAAGCAGTTTACTGCCGATTAAAAGTTGTCTTTTGATATTTTGTCGATTTCGGCCTCCTTGATGAGATAAACGCAATTTTATTAATTTGCCTTGATCCAGGTCTAATAGCACCCTTTAAAAAAATGTAATATCATTAACATGAAAAAAACTTTTAAATAAGTACTCATTGATTCCTCATCAAAAAATATGAAAAAAGTTTCTATAAACATGGGTATGGAAATACATAATTTTCGAGTTATAGGATGTTAAAACTTTAAAATTAGTTTTTTTGTAATTATCATGAATGTCATAATTTTATTATTTGAAATTGCTGTATGTCGGACTAATAGTAATAATATTTAATAGTAAATTAGGAAAAATATATAATTTATTAATTTTATTTTTATTATAATTTTATTAATTGTGATTAATAAAATTTCGTTTATCTCATCTCTCATCAAGGAGACCGAATTCGACAAGATATCAAGAGATAACTTTTAATTGGCATTAAATGGACTACACAATTTTGATATCAAAAGAAAAAAATTCAGTGGCGCACATGTTTTTTTTTGAAAAATATTTCAGTGATAGCCCATATGCACGTCCCTGATGAATGTATCGACATTTTTTTAACATTAAAATATGTAGCACTTATAGTACCCTTAGTTTTACCCTCAAAATTTCGTGCAAATCACTAAAAGTACTTGGAAGAAAATTATAATAAATCGAAAAATGATTATGATTTTAACACCCTGTAGCTACGAAACAAAGTAGAATTGGACCTATCAACACAGGTCCAATTCTGCTTTGTTATATGAAAAAGAAATCCTATTTTTACGTGAGGAATCTCCCCACGAGAGATGGAACATGTTTTTTGAAACACCCTGTATATTTAATAATTAGCTATTTTGCATTTTAACTAAAGTTAATTCCAATATTGGGGATTGTAACGAATCAAAACCAATCAATTAAAAATTAATATGCACAGTTAATGCTTTGTTATAATTCATATTCGTAATACTACATGGGTTTTATTTAAACTAATAATATTTTATTATTTAACTAGTGCTATAAGTTTTAAACTACTCTATTGAATTCTACTGTTATCTAATTATTTTTGATTAGTTTTTTGTTGGATTTGAGCTAGAGAAGTAGTGAAAACTAACAAGGCTATCTTGTAAACTCAGGGTCAATAGGCAAACTACACCAAGATGTTTGAAAGATATTCTCGATTCATTTAGTAATGATAACTACCATAATATACTAGAAAATAAAAATAATATAAATAAAATTATTATAATAAATAATGTTAAAAGGAATAGTTAAACAGAACATTTTTTAAAATGTTCTGATTAGCTATTCCTTTTAACTAACTCACAACAAAATCTTTTCAGATTTTTGAAAATTATATTTATAATTTTTTTTTTGAAAGTTTAGTTTTTTTTGAAAATTTTGTGGTGCAAATGACTCATTGGCCGAATGATGCTATTTCCAAATAGGGAGCAGACTTTCTAGATGTATTTTGTTAATTTTTTCGAATTTTGATAAACAAATAAATACTGCCGCGTTTTTTGTAAGAATAATAATAATAGCTCCCGTAATAGCGTTTAACGCCTTGGGAGTAGCAAGGTACAGCTTGCTATACTAGAGCCGTTCGGTATACAAGGAAGGTAATGTGGCTAGCACTACGCTTCAACCGCCTATTATTACTTCAGGATTGTGAATCCCAAGTACTCATTTAAGGCTGAGTCGACCTAGGTACCCAAACTATTTTTATTTTAATAAAAATAGTCGGCTGATGAAATGCCTGGTGTGGGAATCGAACCCACACCTTGAGATTGGTAAACGAGAGAAAACACTTTCCAAAAAACCTGATGAGATTGGTAGACTTTTGCAAGAAACTTTCCAAAAAAACAGTATACTTGAAAAATGGATAAAAAATCATAAAAATGGTACACCTATATGCAGGGTTGGCATGATATATATCAGTGATATATATCGGATATATCGTGGGCGTACAGCGAAAATCCACTAAGTCACATTTTTGGTTGAATTGGATTAAACACACCACTATGTCCAGTTTTTCACTAAAGTCATTAAGTCCAATTTCGGCATCCTTATATTATATTATAAGGATGCCGAAATTGGGTTTTTCATGTTAAAAACCGTGAAAAACTGGACATAGTGGTGTGTTTAATCCAATTTTTCCGAATGCTTAATAATTGTTTTACTATTCGGAGAGGAGGATTCCAACAAAAACAGACATCATTAAAATCGGTCAAGTCGTTCATGAATATGGTGTAACTGACTTTGACAACGTGACTTTGTTTCATTTATTTAGATTTGTGTGAGTGGTATATTTTTAACTAAAGTTAATTACATAGCTTGAGTTGTTTACTGCAAACACGATTAGTATGTATTTGGTATTGCAAATATAATCTGTAAATGGCAATATCCTATTTATTAGCCTTTAATTATTGGCTTAAAATAAATAAATATCAAGGCCTACGTGCATTCCAAAATTAATTCAGTCATACTTCAATCATGTATATGGCGCAATAAACATTTACTGTTATCATTATTTTGCAATGTGCAATATTATAAAATAGAAAAATATTTTATTATTTATAAGAATTTCTGAGTTATCGATTCCATTTTTAGATTAAGAAAATTAATTTAAAAAAGAGGAAACTTAATACATTGTAGAACTATAGAAAATATTTATACAGTATTCTATAACAGAAGAAATTGTCGATCACGTTATCGATGAACGGGGTTAATTTGAATAATTTGCTCAATACATTTTTGATAATTACATTGATAAAAGTAGTAGTTCCTCCATTGTTTTTACCAAAATTGATCTAAAACG